TCTCACGCATTTTCTTTAAGTTATAAAGTGCCACGATTTATACTGGAGGAAAACTAACCCTGTGTTTGGGACTCCCGCTTCCTAGTCAATGCCTTCATTTATAGAGTAATCCAAAGGAAGAAAATGAGATGAATCCAATCATTTCTTGAATGGTGGGTCAGAAAGATTGGGTATGACCTGGATATAGCCACTGACATTTTTAAAGGCAAGATCGACTATGTGTTATGGTTACCAAAGGGGAAATGTGGGGGGAGGGAAAAATTAGGAATTTGGGAGTAACATATACACACTACTATGTATAACATAGATAAAAAACAAGGACTTACTGTATAGCACAGGGAACTATACTGAATTTTTTTTTTTTTTTTTTGCGGTACGTGGGCCTCTCACTGTTGTGGCCTCTCCCGTTGCGGAGCACAGGCTCCGGACGCGCAGGCTCAGTGGCCATGGCTCACGGGCCCAGCCGCTCCGCGGCATGTGGGATCTTCCCAGACTGGGGCACGAACCCGTGTCCCCTGCATCGGCAGGCGGACTCTCAACCACTGCGCCACCAGGGAAGCCCTATACTAAATATTTTGTAATAACCTATATGGGAAAAGAATCTGCAAAAGAATATATACATATGTGTGTATAAATATTATTTATATATGTGTATAAATATCACATATATATATAACTAGATCACTTTGCTGTACACCTGAAACTAACACAACATTGTAAATCAACTATACCTCAATAAAAAATAAATTAAAAAAAGGTAGACTATGTCTATGTTATGCCCCTAAGCAACTAGGTTAGCAGTCTGGTGAAAACAGGAAAACAGTCTGATTTATTCTTGGTGAACCTATGCAGGCTCCTAAGGATCCCGACATCCCTTGCTTTTCCTAAGTGTGAATGAACCATTTGTTAAGACTTTTTTTCTCCCACAGGGATTAGTGAAGATCATCAAGCTTAATGCCTATAGTTCCTAGACAGAAAAAAATCTAGAATCCTTCCACCCCCTGCCCATTTTCTTGTTTGGTTATTCATTTAACAAATGTTTGAGTGTCTTCTATGTACTGTGTAAGGTAAAACTCTAGGACTCAGCTTCACCCTACCTTTGGTTAATTTTTACCTGTCGCCCATAAATGTATCTGCTCCCTCCTTAAAATGTAAGCTTCTCTGAGGGTCTTATTCATCTTTATACTTCTGGTAGTGCCTAGAAGTCTTGTTAAATGACAATAAAATAAAGTTTTGAGAAGAGAAATTAAAGGATAGTAACATCAAAAATTATACAAGGAATTAGAACTGATTTTCCTGCTCTCTTTTTAAACTTATCTCTATTTTTGACCTTTGAAAAATGTTTTCTTCCTGAAATCCCTGTCAGGCTCTTAAATGTTCAAGGTAAATGACTTTTTTTTGATATTTGTGATGCAAACCTGAGCTGCATAGGTAAATTTTTTTAAAAATAAATTTATTTATTTATTTTTGGCTGTGTTGGGTCTTCATTGCTGCACACGGGCTTTCTCTAGTGGTGAGCGGGGGCTACTCTTCGTTGCGGTGTGCGGGCTTCTCATCGCTGTGGCTTCTCTTTTTGCGGAACATGGGCTCTAGGTGTGCGGGCTTCAGTAGTTGTGGCTCGTGGGCTCTAGAGCACAGGCTCAGTAGTTGTGGCACACGGGCTTAGTTGCTCCGCGGCATGTCCACTGCGCCACCAGGGAAGTCCCTGGATAGCTAACTTTTTATTATAATATATCAAGTAACTTGTGGATTTAGAAACGACACCTAATAGGCTTTTTTTTTTGTCCTTAACTCACCCCCCTCTGATTTACCTACCCCATCCAACCTCTTACTCTGTTCATATGGTTTACAGACTGACTCACTTCTTCAATGAGAAGTTCTTTATTCTTTTAAGAGTCAGCTCCTTGTCTTGAGACACGTTTTCTTGATATACGGTGTAGATTTATATACCCAGCTGCCTCTTTAACATATATACTTAGTGCCTAGTAGACACCTCAAACTTAGCATGCCTAACTGAATTCTTGATTCCTTCTTTACATCCCTTTACATTCCTCTTCTCCTGTTTCTCCGTCTCAGAAATGGCAAATCTACTAGTCTAGTTCCTTAGATTCAAAACTGTGGGGTCATCCTTGGTTTTCTCTTTCATACCCCTTATCTAGTGAACCTCCAAATCTTGTCAGCTATTCCTTCAAAGATCGGTCCACAATCTGACCACTCCTCCCCACCCACCCCCATTGCCTCCATCCTGGTCTAAACTACCATCATCTCTCGCCTGGGTTATTGTTACACTCCCCTACACATCTTTCTGCTTCTGTCCTTTCTCCCTGCGGTAGCCAGAGGGATTCTCTTACAACATAAGTCAGGTCCTGTCATGCCTCTGCTCAAAATTCTCCAATGGTTCCCCATCTCATGCAGGGTGAAGGTCAGAGTCCTTAGCTTGGCCTACAACAAGGCTCTAAGTTTGACTTCCCCCTCTGATCTCATCTCCTTCCTTCTCCTCCTTGCTCACTCTGCTCCCAGCCACACTGATCTTTCTGGAACATATCAAGCATTCTTCTACTTCAGAGCATTTGTATTTACTGCTTCTTCTCTCCTCCTTTCCCTGCACCCGGTCCAGGTATTCACATGGCTCACACCTTCATTTCATTCAGGTCTCTTCTCAGATGTTCCCTTATTAGAGGGACCTTCCCTGACCACCTTACAGCACACTTCATCATGTTCTCTCCCTCTTGCCCTGGTATATTTTTCTCCGCAACACTTACCACCACCAATTTTGTTTATTATCTGTCTCTTTACACTGGAAGTTAAGCTTTTTGAGGGCAACAAGAAATATTTATTGAGGGTCTACTATGTGCCGGGTCCTTTCCTGCGCAATGAGGATGTAAAAGTAAATAAACACGATTATCCTTATGGCATTTTCATTCTAGTATTATAGAAACTGCTGTATTTTCTCAGTAAATATTTGAAGAATGTTTTGAATAAATATACCATACACTCAGCAGAGTAAGAGGAATGGTTCAAAAGTAAAGGAGATTTGGATTGGCTTGTCACCCTCTAAATCACTGGAGCACCCACCACATCTAAAGAAGTGGTGCTATAGCCTCCCAGGTGAAAGGTTGGAAATCTAATCAAATCCCAGAACCCCCAAGCATTCTATTCTCCTAACTCTAAGGGGCTCTTGGATTCCTCCCTGCTATACTGTTTAAAGAAAATATCTGGGATTGCATGAGAAGTTAGGCACTGGCACAAAGTGACTAGTGTCTAGTGACTGACAAGAGTATCAGACCAGGAGGAAATTAGATAAGAAGTACTAAAAATTAATGATATGCTTTGGCCTTCAACAGAGGGAAAAACTATTTTGTATCAAAACAGAATAAACACTGTAAGGAAAATCAATAGCAGAGATGCTAGTAGCCAGATCCAGATAAAGTGGTTTGGGAGAGTGAAGGAAGCTGCCTTCTTTACGAGAAAACTTGGAAGGCCAGATGAAGATGTAAACTTTAGAAGCTATTGGACCTCCCCTGTGGAGAGGAAGGGAAGACCATGCCCGCTACAGAAGGTGATATTGCTCTTACCACCTCTCTTTTCTCTTCCTTAGCAATCAGGGAATATGAAAGATTTTGTGGTACTGGGAATAGTTCAGGGGAAGAGTCAAAGGTGGAAAGACCTACATGCATCAAAGAGTAAGATGATAAGGAGAGGAAAGGGACCTTGATTCTCAGTTCTCAGTTTCTACATAGCTTTCTGAAGACTTCCAGGAAACTGGCGGCAAGCAGTATACGAATAATGGGTGCCTATTACTTCATGGACCACATTTCCTAGGCTTGAACTTGGTCATGAATTGTATGGAAAGTATCTGCTCTAGAGAATGGCTCCGCTGGTCCATTTCTCAATGGAAGGGCTCAAAGCTGCCACCTCCATTGACTAAAAACAGCCTACTTATTTCTGACTCTCTTTTATTACAGGTCTTTCTTCTGAGCTCTTTTTCAGACTTCATCCAGTTTTACCTCTTTTTGTCCCAAATGACAAAGTCCTGGCCCCATTGCTTCAATTGCTCATGCGGTCTGGAACTGCTTCCATCGCTGGCCCTTACTTACATTGACAAATGTCAGGTTTAAAAAAATCTGATTTTCATCTTCATAAAGTCATATTGCTTTGTAACCCTCCAGAACATATATCTTTGGCAGATTTAGCCAGCCACGTGCTGTCTTTGAATCCAGACGGCTTTACAACAGCCCATAGCTATGCATTCTACAAACTACTACTCTAAAGAGGTAGCATTCTGTCAATTGACAGAATGATGTTAAAATAGAGCGATTCAAAGACCCTGCCCAGGAGCTAGCTCAACATTTTGTTATGCCCCACAAAATGCATTGTTAGTTAACTCAAATCTGTTTCACCTTCAATAGGGATGGTTTTCATGGCACATCATAACCCATCTGAAGGGGCAATCAACATTACCAACTTACATTACAAACACCAACAATTTGCTAGATACTAGGCTAGATTCTGGAGCTTTACAAAGAGAAATGAATCCCTGCCCTCAAGGAACTTACAAATGAGTCCTAGAGGCATGGTAGCTGACGCCAACAGTGACATAATTATCACTGGATTTAACATATCATGTAAGTGCCACCATGGCACAGTACTCTGTCATTCCAAGAATAGGACTGAATCCTCTTGGTGGCCTTAGTTGATATAGGATGTCCCCAGGAGAGATGAAGTCCTTATGGAGGGTGATCTTCAGAGGTACAAATGCTACCATGGCTATCAGACATACTGTGAAAGGACTAAAGGTACTGGGGTTGGAGGAGACAGGATCCTTGTACAGTCAATTCTATGTCAAAAGAGTAGGTTAGGTAGGTTAAGCTAGAAAAACCTTCTGTGACCTTGCGTCTGTGGAAAATATAGGAGATGGTGAAGTACACTTGAAAAGGTAGTTCTCAGAATGGTACTCTCATCAACTGGTATGTGATAAAGGATCACCCAAATAGACTTACCATCTGCTCCTTCACTGCTTTTGCTTCTTTTATTGCGGCGAACACGCCTACTCTCCTCTTCAGAGTATGACTTTTCTTCAGGGATGAAGAAATTCAGAAGGGCCACCTGAAAAATAACAAGTAGATAAGTCAAAGGTTGACCCCAGTCAACTATAGCCAACATAAAAAACTGGCTTTCTGTAGACAGTCTGCCTTCACCTTAAATTCAGAGAGTTTAAGATGAATGGATAAAAATGTAGTGTGTATATATATATACATATACTATATATGGAATGTAATATACAAAGGAATATTAATCATAAAAAATGAAACGTTGCCATTTGCAGAAACATGGATGGACCTAGAGATTATCATACTAAGTGAAGTAAGCCAGACAAAGATAAATATCATATAATATTGCTTATATGTGGAATCTAAAAAAAAGATACAAATGAACTTATTTACAAACCAGAAATAGACCCACAGACATAGAAAACAAATTTATGGTTACCAAAGGGGAAAGAGGGGGAGGGATAAATTAGGAGTTTGGGATTAACATATACTCACTACTGTGTATAGAATAGGTAAACAACACGGACCTACTATATAGCACAGAGAACTATAAATATCTTTTAATAACCTATAAGGGAAAAGAGTTTGAAAACGAATATATATATATATATTTTTTTCCATCTGAATCACTGTGCTGTACACCTGAAACTAACACAACATTGTAAATCAACTATACTTCCAATAAAAAAAATTAAGAGTGTCTAAAGCCCATCCTCCCCTCCACTGCACAAATTCTTTTATTTTTGATAACATTATTATCCCAAAAATGTAGGCACGAAATTTTGGTTAATCTCTTCTGCCCCCCTCTCATCTGCCCCAAATACCTAATGAGTAATCATTCAGTCCTACTTGTCAGTATAGTTCTGGGGTTCAGAGAGCCCAGTCATAGACTTTTAACTTCCCTTACAAACTACTGATGCCTGCCCAGAATTAGACCTGGGCTTGCTACTCCCTCTTGAACTTCATTATTATACATCCATGATTTCCCACATTTCTATTTATGCTGAACTTTTGGCTTGTTCCCAGAATGCTGTGCATCCAATTATGATTGGATGGTACCATTTATGCCAACGCTCTTCTGGGAGTTAATAATAATAAAGCACACAATTATTCTCTCCCTTTCCTAGATCCCAACAGAACGCTTACAGCATTTTGGTACTTAGTCCTCTACTGTCTTATGATGGTCTCTCATCATAATACAACATATTTCATATGTGAATGGGCCTGGCATCACTAATGGTAATCACAGCTTAAATATATACTTGCTGAATTGAATCATAATTTTTCAGCATGAGTGCTTACTTGGGGTTAAAAAAAATGTGCCTGAGGTAAACAGTGGACAGAGTAGTAGGACTGAAAGTGATTCCAAACCCGACTCTGCCACTTATAGCTGTGTAACCTTGGGCAAGGTCCTTAAGCTTTAATTTCCTCATCTGTAAATAGGGACAATAATAGTACTTTGCTCATAAAGTAGTTGGGTTTGCACAGTACCCAGCATGTAATATGCACTCAATAAATGTTAGCTATTATTGTAATTAAAATTAATATTAAAAATAGACTGGTTAGATAGTTTGGAGGTTAAAAAGAAGAAACGAATCTGCATTTTCACCCTATTGTTGGTTCAAAAAATAAACAATTCCAGAATATCCTCATGTCTGTTGCATCTGTGATTAACTGGAAAAAAGATGGGTAGAACTCAAGCAAGCCTTAACATTCTACACAAACTTTCTTAAAAATCCTGTAATTTACTGTTTATGTAAAACAATTATACCCAATAGCCTTAATATACAAGATTAGCATCTTACAGAATATATTCATGTATTAAATACATAATTAACAATCTCCAACTTGCCATAGGGTTGTATTTAAAAATATTTAGGTTGAATCACATGAAACTGCCATTTTAGTATGTCAAAAATGGTTGAATATCAGCAATTTCACATGGTTCAACTGAGCAGTGTTTTTGTCACTTGACTGGAACGTAAAATGCACTTTCCCGTAGAATCAACGTAATAAAGTCTGGCTAGGTTTCCAGATAAAGCCCATGGAAAGTTACTTAACCCACAATGTAAATAAGCTATCATACTAGTAATAATATAATACCAAACTGCTATTTACACTAAAATCTCAATCATTTGCAACTCTAGAAGAACAAGTGATTCTGGATAGAAGAGTTTTCATGATAAATTTGAGTGCTTAAACTCACCTCAGCTATTTTGGATAGAAATTAGTCTACAATATATGATTTCACTCAGGGTTTACTGAATATGCAGAAGACTATTTGCCTGTACATTAAATGGCACCAGTCCACTATAGTTTTCAGGGTTTTTTAAAGTTACACTTAACATTACAGAGCAATACATGCTTTGTTAGAGAGAAGCATAAAGTTCTCTGGGAGGAAGAGGGAAAGTACCTAATACAGACTGGGAGTGGAAAAGGCTTTTTGGAGGAGGTGCTACCTCTGTGAGTCCTGAAGGATATTGAGGATTTAGTGATGAATGAGAAAATGAAAAGGAATTCCAGGCAAAGGGAGCATTGTGCTTCAAGGTTCAGAGGAAATAGACAGAGAAGCAGTTTTTGGAAATACAAGTAGCATAAAGTAAGTGGTAGGAGTTGGGGAGGAATGGTAAGGAATGAGCCAAGAGACATTAAACAAAGGCCAGATCATGTTAAGGAGTTAAGATTTTACCCTGTAGCAGGGGGGTCCTCTGAAGGATTTTCTCCCTTTGTAAATTATGTACTTTATGAAAATTTTAGCTAAAATTTACATACAATAAAGTGCACACATTTTAAGCATACAGTTTGAAAAATACACACCTTTGTAACCACCACCCAAATCAAGATATGGAACAATTCCATCACCCCAGAATTTTCCCTTGTGTCCCTTCCAGTCATTCTTCAGTGCTACTCCAACCTCAGGCAGCCACTGTTCTGATTCTATCACCATAGCTTAGTTTTCCCCATTCTAGAACCTCACATAAATGGGATCATACAATATGTTTATATGATTTTTGTGTTGCTTCTTTCCCTCAGCACAATGTCTGTGAGACTCATCCACGTTGTTGTGAGTATCAGTAGTTCATTCCTTTTTCTTCCTGAGTAGTATTTAATTGTACGGATATACTATAACTTTTTAATGCATTTGCCTTTTGAGGGACATTTGGGTTATTTCCAGTTTGGGGCTATTATGAATAAAGCTGATATGAGTATGAGGCTTTGAGGGGATATATGTCTTCATTTTTCTTGGGTAAACGCCTAGGAGTGGAACCTCTGGGCTATATGGTAACTATTTACTGTAAGGGAACTGTCAAACTATTTTCCAGTGACTGTACCTTTTCCTACTCCCACTGGTAATGTGTGAGCAATCCACTGCTCTGCATTTTCACTACATTTGGTGTTGTCAATTTTTCATTTTAGCCAAGCTTGTGGATGTGAAGGAGTTTTTCATTGTGGTTGGCTTTTGAGTTCTTAAACTTCTTTTTAATGCTTTTTCGGTCTCTTACCTTGCTGTCAACTATCATATTTCACTTCATCTACTTATAACATTTTTCCAGTCTCTTCAAATTTGCTGCTTATAACCTCCTATAGGCTTGACATCTCACATCTCATTAAAACTAATTAGAATCATGTACAAACAGAATAAATAGGCAATCAGTGGGTTTTTGAATGGCTTTTCCAATAAGTAAGATGCATATACTCTGGCGGCTTAGAGGCCATTTGTTTACTGCTTATTCTTGGCTGTGGTCTGGATAAGTGAGTCAGTCAGAAAACTCAGTTTTACATAGGTATGTTATTATAGTATAATGCTATTTCTAGCGGAAAGGAATTTTGAAGCACAAATGGAGAACCTCCCCACCATCACCAACCAGAATTCCAGAATTTTCTTTATACTCTTTGTGTTCCTTCATGGGCTCAGCTCCTATGGGGATTCTTCGCACGGTCACCAGCACCTTCTTGTGTCCTGGCAGCAGCAGTAGGAGAATGTGCTCACATGTTAATTGTTCCAAAAGGTCTGATGGGAGCTTGTGAAAACTCAGGCTCCCAGAAGAGGAGAGCTGAGGGAGAAACCAACTCCTGTAGATGGAAGAAACAACTCCAGCTTCCATGGGTAGTAGGAGTAGCTTAAAGTCCTTTCAGAGAGGCTGTTGATGAGTATGGGACATTCATAAGTCAAATATTCATTAGAAGGGGACTGCCTGTATATGAAAATGCTTTGAACAGAACAGTTTCTATTTTCTCATTGAAAAAACACAAAACACTGCTTAAACTGAAAGAGGATCCCTACGCACAATGATCTTATTTGTATCAATTAGAGATAGGAGGGAAAACTAACCTTTGTGTAGTATAACGGTAAAGACAAAAATCAGTGACTGGGGGAGACCTTCAAGATGGTGGAGGAGTAAGACGTGGAGATCACCTTCCTTCCCACAGATACATCAGAAATACATCCACATGTGGAACAACTCCTACAGAACACCTACTGAACACGGGCAGAAGACCTCAGACTTCCCAAAAGATATACATATTTTTTTCCTTTTTCTCTTTTTGTGAGTTTGCATGTGTATGCTTCTTTGTGTGATTTTGTCTGTAGAGCTTTGCTTTTACCATTTGTCCTAGGGTTCCGTCTGACCATTTTTTTCTCCTTTTTAAAAAAATTACTTAAAATTATTTTTAATTTTAATAATTTTACCTTATTTTATTTTTTTCTTTCTTTCCTTCTTTTTTTATCCCTTTTCTTCTGAGCCGTGTGGATGACAGGCTGTTGGTGCTCCGGCCGGTGTCAGGCCTGTGCCTCTGAGGTGGGAGAGCTGAGTTCAGGACATTGGTCCATCAGAGACCTCCAGGCTCCACGTAATATAAAACAGTGAAAGCTCTCCAAGAGATGGAGATCGTCAATGCTAAGACCCAGCTCCACCCAACGACCAGCAAGCTATAGTGCTGGACACTCTATGCCAAACAACTAGCAAGACAGGAACACAACCCCACCTATCAGCAGAGAGGCTGCCTAAAATCATAATAAGGTCACAGGCACCCCAAAACACACCACAAGACGCG